ACCTGGACAGCGAATAGAGCCTTCGGGTGCCTAAGGAATCGCGGAATCCAAACTGCGTCCATGATACTTGTTCTTCGCATTTTTTATATATTCTGCCGTGTATCTCTTTCAAGAACGTTTTAAATAAGTGGCTCATTAGGCTAATTGTTCTGTAGTCTTAGCATGTCTTGGCATTTACTTTTTTTGGTATGGTCACGAAGGTCGACTTTAACCAGCTTTGGGGTATTTTTCCAGTTACGTATATGTTGTTGAATACAGTTGTTATCCATTTTATTCCCTGTTCATCCATAAGTTTAAGGAATTCTGCACAAAACTCGTCAGGCCCTACCGCTTTACCATCTTTAGTTCTTTTAATAGCTGACGTGACTTCTTCAATGGTAATCGGGGGTCCTGTTTGGCATTCAGTGTCTTCAATGGTAGTCTGCCTTTCATCTGCAAAGTTACTTCCACATAATTCTTCCAAGTGTCTAGTTTTTCTTTCACAGTTAACAGTGGTTTGCCTTGGTTATCTGCCAAACACCCAACTCTTCTAGGTTTGTATAAGCCTGCGGCTTCTTTAACTTTTTTGTGCATATTAAATGTATCGTGTTTATGTTGCAATTGCTGTATTTCCGAACACTGTTTTCTTAGATGTGTATCCTTAGCTATTCTAATAGCTTTTTGATCTTTTTATCGATTCTTTTGTATAATGACATGTCTTGATTTTTGAACTTTCGCCTCTCTTCCATCATATCTAGAATCTCATTTGTCATCCACGATTTCTTCTTAATTTTTGGTGGTTTGAGAAATTTCTCTCGTATGTCTTTTGAAACTGTATGTAACTTTTCTAGCTCCTGGTCCATTACATCCGATTGAATAACGGTATTCAAATTGTTCTGTATCGAATTGTTCTGTGTCGAGAAAATTACAAATAAGAAATTAAACAGCATCTAAATACAGTAGACCAGAGCAATGATGTCGAAAGGCTATGGCAACAAATGAAAAAACCAATTACGGAGTCAGCAGAACTAATAACAGGAAAAAGCAGGAAGAGAGCAAGGAAATGGTTTGATATCAGAGACAGTTTCTTTTTGCGATGAAGATGATTTTGAGCCACTTCGCAAACGGTGCAAACCATTATCAGATAGCGATAATGATTAAAAATGTAAATGTAAAACTATATGAACCTATTACTTTTCCATAAAATAAAATTAATTAAGTTTTGAATAAAAGTTTTTTTTTTTGAAGAATTTGTATGAATTTGTTTCAGATATTCGAAGTAATTTATTTTTGGAAACTATAATATATTCTGGAAACTTTTTTGCAAAAAAACTTTTGTTTTTGTTTTGGTTTTATGTAATTTTAGAAGGCTACGGAACGTATCCTTACTTTTCAAGGTAAGTAATGCCTTGTTTTATGCGTTTTTTCTATAGACACTTTTATGAGGAACGTATTCACCCTACTGTATTTCGTCGTTGCCAAGTCAAATGCTGCTAAGTGGGACTTTTTCACAAAAGGAGATACATGTACTACTTAACAGATTTTTACGTTGGTCACCGCCCTATAAATACAGTTATGTATATGGTAATTCATATAATTTCTGTAATCAAGTTTGAAAAATATGTTATGTGAGCGGGTACCGCAAAACATGCTATGTGAATTCCTCATCCACATAGCAGAAAAATATTTACATAACGCGCGCACGTCATACACTGCTATGTGGATTTCTTCATGCACATAGCATAAATTAACGACCTTGAACATTGTCAAACCTGTTATGAGGTTTTGTTGAATATTATTATTATACCGATACGTTTATTATTACCTCTAATTGACGAATGAATAAAGCAAAAAGTGTGCTCTATGAACATAAAAATTGCTTATATAATGTGCACTTAAGGTAAGCATAATTAATACTATTTATTAAACGGTTACTTGAATGCTTAACATAAATTTCAAATCTAACCTCAAACAATTTTTTGAAAGGGAACAGAGAAACATATTTAAAATTTTAATATTTTTCCTGACGTAGTTTCATTCAGTAGTATAGTGATAAAATTTGAAGTAGTATAGTGATATTATTATGTGAAAATAATCAAGCAATATACTGATTGCAGCTTCAACATGTCATACGATATTGTTCTGAAGCTATTTTCTTGCACCGTATGACATTAATTACTATTTAACTGGGAATAAGCCACAATTAAAGATAAAAATACGTTTATTGACGTTTCAATTTCCACTTCGGAAATCGTTCTTAAAATACAAACAGTAAATTAAACAAATTTTGTTTTTTGTTACATAGTGAAAAATTCTTCTAATAATTTAATTTTATCTGACTCATTTATATTGACAATTCAGACATACATTATGCATTTTAAAGTAGACGACTTTAAAATGTAAACACGCATGGGATAATGAACATAGGGTTCAATGGAATAAATCAAATGTAGTCGTAAAAGAAACGGATGGTAAAAAAAGAAAAATCAAAGAAGCTGCTCTAATTATGCTAAATGAGGCCAATTGTGTCGCAAATTCCTCGGCAGTATTTAGTAGGATCTGGTTACCAATATTGAAAGAGGAAGTTATTAATAAGAAAATACCAGTATTAGTAAGTCAGTAACATATAGAGGATACATCATTTATGTTTTTTTAAATAACGTAACATATAAAATCAGAATTTTGATGTTTGTTGAAGGTAAACTAAATTCACGAACAAATACTTACAATGTCGGGATAGTATTATGAGGTTTTTTTTCCTGGTTTTTCCCTCATAATTTATTATGGAATCACTAACAGGAGAATTTTACTGTCATCATGTCATGTGTTTGTCTTTTTAAAGACGAATTACATGCTATGATTTTTTCTGACGGATATTCTCAAGTTAAAGTTGATTTCATGTAATCGAATGAACTACCTTATAGGTAAAGTCGTCCCAAGAGCGCAACTCAACAATATTGGCAATATCATTTTCAAGTCGTCTACTTTAAAATGCATAATGTATGTCTGAATTGTCAATATAAATGAGTCAGATAAAATTAAATTATTAGAAGAATTTTTCACTATGTAACAAAAAACAAAATTTGTTTAAATTACTGTTTGTATTTTGAGAACGATTTCCGAAGTGGAAATTGAAACGTCAATAAACGTATTTTTATCTTTAATTGTGGCTTATTCCCAGTTAAATAGTAATTATTGTCATACGGTGGTCTGTCAATAGGACAGTTTCTTGTTTCCCAATGTTTAAAACAAACAAGTTCAGCACAAGAAGAAACAATTGGTAAGTTGTTTGCCTTAATTTGTTTAGTTTACTCTTGCAACTGAGTTTATTCGATATCTCACATGTGAAAATTCATTTTATGGTATGCTTTTTATATATTAATTTATAAATTCGTTGAAAATAATACAAGTGCCACATTTTAGTGAACTACTTTATTATCAAAATTGAACTGTGTATTATTTTAAAATATTATAAAGCACATACAAAAACAACTTTTAATTTTTTAAGATAATTTAGAGGAAGGCAAACCAGTTGCACGAGAAAAGGAAACTGAAAACTGCGCTAATGGAAACAACATTGATGGTGTTGTGTTGTAAGCAGCTCTCTGCACCGATATCATTATAGAATGCGACAGGGCTCTTCTCAACAGCATTCAAAATAATGATATAGATTTAAAATGTGGAATACCATGCACATGTGGAATGGTATAAGTGGGAACCACGAAAAGACACAAAACACAAGGATAAACTAACATAAAAGCCATTGTCGTTTAGGATATATCGACAAATTCGCGGTTGCCGAACACGCTTGGGAAGCGGAGAACATCCAATACTCTTTGAAGAAACGCAGATGCTGGATAAAACATCCCAGTACTACCCACGGTTATATCGGGAAGCAGTAGAAATATATAAGCATCCAAATAATTTTAATCGGATAGAAGAAGGACTAAAAATTAACAAAACGGATACCAATATTAAAATCCACAAACACTCTTCCCGCAAAATACGAAAAAAGAAAAGCAACCAACGACGACACGTCCCCTTACGCCGAAACCAGTGGAGGGGGGCAAATAGAAAATATAAATATGGCCTCCGTAGTACAACGTGGCCTCAGTAGTTTCAGCTTACAAGCGAAGCAGTAACATTTCCAGAAGATGCTAACCAGAGTGTTGGCGAAATGTCGAGAACTAATCTCAGAAGACAACGGCCTAACAGCCCGAACAAACAGTTTAACAAGTTGGACGATGCCTGTGAAAGCCTAATGCATTTTATCAAAACATGCTATGTCGAATCAAAATAATTGTTTTTAGTTTGAATTGGATTACATTGATTTCACTTTCTCACAAATGTACGTTCTTATATAATCACCTAATTAATCAATTTGTTATAAAAATAAGTAACAGTTTTTCAACTCGACCAAGTATTTAGGTTTTATCTGTCTCCTGTAAAATTCTATAAAACCCGCATATCAGCTTTTGTTAACAAAAAACTTGACAACTTAACATAACGTTAAAAAATAATTTCAGACCACGGGCTATAATCCCCAGTATCACTACAAAACACCAGCCGTGAACGATTACATTCCTTATAATAAAAAACAGGATGTGACACTCCGGGAGTGACCGAGGAGGGGAAGCATAGCTTTCTTCTCGTCTAAGCACGGAGAGACGGTTTTTCATTTAATTTAATTAAATTATTTATTTTATTTCGATTCAATTCGATCCGATCAGACTCGAGTCAAATCGACCCGATTCGACTAGATCCGATCCGACGCGACTCAAGTCAAATCGACTCGATTTGATTCCATTCGAATGATTTTATTTTATTAATAAACACGCATGGGGCTGCATTTACTGCCCCACATATTGTGTGGTCGCACAATATGTCATTACAGTTTTTACTGTCAAGTTTTATTTTCTCACTTCTCTGTGCGATCCAGTAGCCGGATAATCCGTCTGTAGCCCGCGATAAGAAATCTATGCTTCCAATAATTATAATAATAAAAGTTTATGTGTACATACCTTTCCAAGGATCTTTCATTTAATGTAGACCTTATCCAAGCTCTTCCTCTTCCAAGATCTGTCCAGATGTGTCTTAAAACAATGTAACGTTCCTGTTCATGCTTTGTCAAATGACGGTAAATAAAAGGCCAAAATGCTAAAAAAGTTTTAGTAAAAACACCACAAGCAACAATTTTTCAATTGACACAATAATAAAAATGCTTAGAGGAACACTTTTACAATTTTTTAGGTGAATTGCGTATTTGTGACAATTTTTTATATAAAACAATGATAGTAATTCTTGTAAGTAATGCTATATGACCGACAATTATGCACTTCATACAGCTCTACTTAATTCGTGAATTTTGATGTAGGAACACGAATTCTTAAAGGGATGTCCTGATTAGTGTTGGTAATGGACAACAAAAATTTACATGGCAAATACTCTACGACTACTTAAAAGAAGACTATTAGGAGTAACCTAAGGTAAGGCCTAGTTAAAATGAAAACAGAAACACTTTTGCGATACAAATTTTAAGATAATTATCTGATAATATTGCAATCATATAAATTTTCTTTATCATCACTCTTATTTGTTAACTGCAGAGCTATTTGTTTTCAACACGAATATTTGCTTTAGGGTATGAAAGATAAAAATTTGGTATCAGTTACTCTGACTTTGAGATATCTATCTGAAATTATTTGTAATACCTTATTTCGTACTAAAACGATCGTCATATTAAAAATGTTTGACATTTCAGTAGCAGTTTTTGATATCTTAACAACAAACTTGTAAACCGTGAAATCTACGACACGCGCCAGTTGTTTGAAATCAAAGAAACGACTTTCCAATTAACTGCAAATGTTTCTCACTAAATTAATTATATTGTAAATAAATAATTGATTACATCGAATAGAAAAGCTGAACTGCAGAGCCATTTTTCGTTTTTTTTTTTATTTCACCACCTTGTTCGTTTCGAAAAGAAATGATTTCAGGTAAGATTTCTTAGAATATTTCTAAATATGTTCCTCTTATCTTATGTCTGTATTAAGAAGTACATACACCAGTGTGCCTAACGGAACGGCTAGCTTCCAATTACACTTAAAAGAAGCATCATTGCACGTTTTCTGCGCTGACTGAATTCACGATATTTGTGGCAATATTCTCTTCACTCATATTTAAGGGAGTTTAATGGAATTACGTAGAAATGCGTCCCAATAAGCCTCTCTTACGTTAGTGATAAACTCATCTTCCCGTGGTAACTCCTGATTGGTAAAAACGAAACTGTTTTTAGAAACGAAACTTAGACCGAGTATAAGCGGTATAACCAAATGTCACATATACGTTGGCATGTTTGCAGGCCAAAGCCAGCAATTCCAGTACCAGTCCGATGTTAAAGTCAAGCCAGTAACCTACTTATAGGCGTAAAAACAACAATTCGTATTAGGACTTGGGACGATCTACACAATGAGGACTCACGCTAAGAGAATTAGAAGATATATTAGGAATACGAACCGGAAACATCAAATCACGTAACACTACGAAATTCAAGGAAGCAACGTGCTAAGAACAACGGTGATCAATGGAGTGGTTAGGAGTAGGAGTGAACGCCTACTAAGATCAGAGAAGAACAAGAGAAGAAAGATCCTATTTTACAGAAAATTCGAATATAGTCGACTGTCTTGGCAAGAAATATCAAATATTATGCTCAGTAGTTAAAATGTATTGGGTCCAGTGAGATTCCTTTATTATGTAAGATGGTTTGCTTAAACGAGTACTGGCAAATGATGATGGATCCGAGAAGAGAAGACAGTTGGTGATTCCAAAGAGCACAATAGCCGAAGTACTTCGTCAGTTACACGACAGTCGATCGGGAGAACATTTCGGCGTAAAGAAAACCCTTCAGGGAATTCGGGAACGATGAATATTTCCGACAATGTAAAGGACTGGTGTAAGAAATGTACTAACTGTGCCTCAAGCACCATAACTTACCGAAAAAGAAAAGCTCGTGTTGGAAATCATTCCAAACAATACACATTAGCGAACTAAAATATTCTTATCCTTTCAGGATATCTATTGCTGTCAATATTTTGATTCGACTAAGAACTTCCTCATTGGTAATTCGTTCCACGGAATTTCGAGTTTTATATATCAAGAGTTCAAGTATTTACTCCACAGCGTCTTACAAGATCCAAGCCTCAAAACCGTACAATATAACTTGCGGAACTTGGCAGATGATGGGGTTGTGGTGACCCAACAATACGGAGAGGGAGTAATCCCTTTCGCATTTGCGGACGACCTTGTTATGCTGGTAGTGGCACGGGATAGGGAGGACATTATCTTCGGTGCACAGCGTACATGCGACCTTCGAAAAGTCGACGAATGGACGAAAATGCATGACCTAGAACTGGCTATGGGTAAGGTCGAAGTAAGATCGATATATCTTCTAATTCTCTTAGCGTGAGTCCTCATTGTGTAGATCGTCCCAAGTCCTAATAAGAATTGTTGTTTTTACGCCTATAAATAGGTTACTGGCTTGACTTTAACATCGGACTGGTACTTTAATTGCTGGCTTTGGCCTGCAAACATGCCAATGTATAAGTTTTCAAGGGACCAATGAAACGGGACGAAAATTTGAATGTGCAGGAAAGACAATGGTTCCAAAGAAATAAATGAGGTATTTAGGTGTGATTCTGAGTCAAAATGCCGCGTTGGGGGATCATGTCCAATATCGGAGGGGTCAAAACTGAGAGGAGAAGGACCCTTCATTCCGTGCAATCGATCGTTCTCTACGCTACGCCTGTCTGGGGTACTGTAGTTTTAACAAAGGCGTACAGAAAGCAGAGACCCGAGCAGATAGGAAGAGTCTATTGATCGTGGCATATGCATACAGAACAATCTCTGCCGAGGCGCTGAGAGTTATCACCGGGTGTATTCCGGTGCACGTGCTAGTGAAGGAAGAATAAACGAGAGAAGAAATGAAGACATAGCAACAGAACGTTTAAAAAAAGGAAAAAGGGAGAGGTCCATTATGGTGTGGCAAGAGGAATGATACGAGATGAGAAGGGTGGAGCAGTGGATGAAGTCACTTATTCCTAATCTGAAAAGATGGATGGACTGCAGGCATTGGCGTTTGGATTACTTTCATGACGCAGATGCTCACAGGACATGATTGCTTCAGGGCATACCTTTATAGATTTGGAAAGGTATAAAATGACAAATGCCTATACTGTGAAAAATCGGATACTCTGTCACACACTCTATTGGTATGCGATAGATGGATAGACGAGAGGAGCATGCTTGAGAGATAATAGGGTGCAATCTGTCACGGAAGTAGCGGAGATGCTTAAGTTATCAGATCAGTGGAAAGCAGTTCAGAGATATGTGAAGAGAATGTTGGAGAGAAAGGAACAAGATAAAAGGTGACCCGAAGGGAGGCAGAAGGGTCAAGATTGAACATAAAAGGGAGGAACAGAGGGAGAGAATTATTCAGCCATAGTAAGAAAATGTGTGAATGCCGTGCCAACGTTGCTTCCTAATCACGGCGGTCCTGCCAGTAATTCAAGGTTAAGGAGTGTATTTCTTTAGCATGTAGGTTTCTGACATTAAACAATGGTGTGCGAATCCCTCATAAAACAAAAAAAAAACTTTTCTTATCTAATCTACATTTATTTCGAATGTCTATGCATTGATTGATATTATCTTTTATTTATAAATATTGCAGCTACTGATGGTTTTGCGCAGGTGTAGTAGACTTAGCCTGCTCTCTTCTTAAACTATTTTTCAAATATTACTAAATCAAATCTTGATTTAGTAATATTTAAGCAGTTTTGTAGTAGGTACAGGAATATTTTAGAAACTTTTCTTTCATTGGAGTTCTTGTTTATAAGTTATATTTCTTTTTAAGTTCTAATACTTATATTAGTTTTCCTATAGGGTTACAATTTTACCATGAATTGGAACACTAAACTATTAATGCAGAAATACTACCGAGATAGATAAAAAACCATAAAAAACTATGAGAACAGTAAATTGCCTTAAACAAGCCTATTAGGTCTCCCATTAAAGTAACTTCTAATCTAAAGGAACAACTTATCATTTTTGTACAATATGTCTTTTATCACAATTCTTGCGATTGGCACTGTATGTGAATCTGTGGTAACAACTTCAACAATATTTTTTCCTTTATTTTTTTTTCCAAAATGTAATACAGTACTTATAATAAAACTGGTTTTTAATAACTCAATAATATTTTGACTTATATCAGTTCAAAAAGTGTACAGGAGAAAAAATCTTCAGGCTTACCGTATTAACAGAGTATAATTTTTCAAAGTGGGCTTGAGAGCTTGCTGACTCTTCTATAAGTAAAAACCATTTAGATAATAAGTAACTTTCTATGGAGCAAAGTTTTGAAAATCTTTGAATTCACATTTTTCTTTAAACCATTGTTTTAGTGATAATTTAAAAAATTTTAAATCAAATTTTCAGAAACTTTTATTTCTATGAGCTGGAATTTTCACATCTAATATACTTACCCTTGCTTAGGGTAATTTGAAATTGATAACTACAAGAACCTCATACTAAAGTTATATTTATAGGTGTTCCTCTAATCAATTTGTATTCTATACATTACTTAATTAGTGTTGGTTTAAGTATTCAAAGCTGTTATATAGCATTTTACTTTTAAAACATTACTTGTTACTTCCCAGTTAACTATTCAAAAAATAAACAGAACAAACATGCATACAGTTAGCTGTTTATGAACATGCACAGTTAGATTAAAACATATTGATAATTCGAACACAGTGCTGTCCAGTCTCTCCATTAAAAAGATTAAGTAACTTTTTAGAGTAAGTACGAGTGTTTAATTATTGAAAATCTAAATTTAATTTAGATATTCAGTAATTTTTTTAATCAAATTACTGAATATCTAAATTCATATTTCTGAGATTTAAAACTCATTAGACAAGAGGGATATCAGAAGAAATGCCTATAAGAAGTCAAGTATTTAAAAAGAAGTCCACTTAAAGAATTTTACTTTAGTACAAACATATATATGATACAGAAGACAAAATATATAAAAAAAATAATTTCTTTATTTATTCCAAAACCCGAATATTTTTAAAGAATAAAATATAATTGTATATAATGTAGGATTTATCATAAAATTATTAAGAGACTGAAAAAGGCACATCTCATTTCAGTAGAAAAGACTATACTAAAATAAAAATAATGTTATCTATTCTCAAAACAGGAAAAGATAACACAGAATACCTACAGGCTATTAGAGAGGATGGTGATATAAAATTAAAAGCTTTCAAAAATTATAAAGAGATGCACATTTTGTAGTAACTTGAAACCTAAAATAAAAAGTTGCAACATTCTTCACCAATATTTGTTGTATAACAAAAAGAACAATTATTTTGAAAAAAAAATAAATAGAATTATCTAAATGTTTAAAATAGTGCTATAATTAACATTTGATTGATTGCTTTTAACTTAAACATTGTAAAGATACAAGGAAGCTAGATATAATGTTAAAATACTAGTTTTATATTACTAGTTATTAAGCTAAAAAATAGTTCCAGAGAGTGAACACCACTGTAAAAGAATCACCAAAACATCTACATTACTTACAAGGGCTGTCATTCCCTATATTTAAAGTATTGGCAACAATTTCAGACACTTGTTTGATAGTAGATGAATTTTGAGTGTGGGGACTTTTATGCTTTAAACCAAAATTTAAAACAGCTTCTAACGTAACACAAAGACCTGCTACACAACACTCAAATTCTGTAGCAAGCTCCGTTTTACCCCCGAATCTTTTTTGGCAGTCTTGGACGCATTCTAAGAGCTGTTTTAGTAATTTCTCAGCTTCCTCACTTTTTTGTTGCACTGGCGATGTAGTTATAGAAACAGACATCAGCTTTAGCTAAAATATAAAGGAACCTTTGTATGAATTACCTGAGACTACTAGGAATTGTTTACGTATATCAGTTTAACAAGTGAAACTATACCATAATAATGAATTATATATCCAATAACCTTGATAAACACTCATTTCACTCCACTGATACTAGAATACAAAGTTACGATGTACACAAGTAATACTGTTTTATCAAACGTAAAATGACACTTATATTATCTGGCCCATAATTTTTATTAAGTGAATACTGCGATATAGGAATTTAACAACAATGAGGATAGCAAATTAGCAACAAATATCAACTGGCGATGACTTTTGACAAGCCAGGTTGTTCGTATGTCGTAGTCGTATGTTCGTCTCCGGTCAACATCGAGAAAATACAATCGGTAGCTTTTTACATTATTGATAGTAGATAGGCAACTCATTCAACAAGTATAAGGATACATTCGCAGCTAAATTTGCAATCTGCATGCATCTTTTGCGAAGAATTCGGAAAAAATGAGTTGTGATATGGCTGCACCATCTGCGGCTTATATTCTCATTCTCATGCCATATGTCCAAGATGGGATTCACCTGTATGACTTATGTATTCAAAAATATCAAAAAATATGTTTGAGCGACTTTACTCTGTACCCTGACCGGTATTACCCAAAGTCAGGTGTAATGCCACTCAAAAATGTTTTTTTAAATGTTTTCCTACTACTAGTGGATCAAAAATATATACTTTTGTTGTTAAATTGTTGGATATCGTAAAACATATTTAGATAGGACGTCTGAGGTGAATCAGGCATGTAATGTGGATGGAACAAAATTAACTAGCTAGAAAAACGCTCCTTGATAGACCCATTGGTCAGAGAAGAAAATGAAGACTCAGAACAAGGTTCCTTGATAACATCGATGAAGATATGAAAAATATGGGAATACATGCTTGGCGGAGGAAGGCGATGGATAGGGACGACTGGAGAGAAATTCTTGTGGAAGCTAGGACCCACGCAGGATTGACAAGCCAGAATGATGATGATGTTAAATTGTTGATTACTCGATAATTGAAGATTTTGTTAAACGGCTAAATTCTACTTCCAGACATAGCCGAAGAACAATGCGGATTCATATCAGGAAAGGAACACGGGAGCAGATACTATAGCAGACAGATAATAGAAAAAGCGAGGGAACAACATACCAATGCTGTTCTGTATCCTAAATTATACAAAGGCTCTCGATTCAGTACAATGGGATCCCCTCTGGAGTATAATGGAAAATATTATATATAATAAATATACCTAACCACCTAGTTAATAAAAAATATGTATGATAAAACTGCCAAAGTTAAAATACACGGAATATATTCAAATGCGTTCAAAACAAAGAAAGGAACTAGACACGGCTGCAACTATCACCATTATTATACAACATATATTCTGAATAGACTAGACTGTACTGGACGAATGAGATGGAAGAATAACTATAGTAGGCAGAAAAATCAGTAACAAAAATAATAATCGTAGACAGAGCAAATAATAAGAACAGAACATTAACAAGAAATACTAAGCTCAGGTTGGTTCATCCTCAAAAAGAATTTTACGTTTGTCCTGGACAGCACACAGAATCAACCTGTCAATTCCGGAAGAGCTTAATATAAAAGGCTATTAAAAAAATAAAGCGAGCATATTTAAATTACTTCGACCATATAGCCAGAAGAATGTGGACTATGGAACTATTGGTAGTATAAGGAAAGTTAAAAAACCGAAGGCTGAGAGGAAGATCTAAAGCACGATGGGCAGACTAAATGAAGACTGGTGGAAAAATCCTTACATGAAGTCATCCATCTGGCACAAGATCGCAGCCAATTTCAATATTTAGAGTTGGGTACTGACACAGGCTAAAGGAATGAGGAGGAAAGTTGTGACTGAACAATATAGTTTAGATGAAAGAAATGAAAGAGGCAGAGATTTAATTAATATAGTTACGACACAGATACCACATGGGAGCGCATAAAATCACGATACTATGCTATGCCGATGATGCAGTACTAATTGCTGATAATGAAGATGACCTACAAAGGCAGCTCTACACCTTCAATATCACAGTAAACAAATTTAATATGAGAATATCAGTAGAAAAAACTAAATGTACAGTGATAAGTAAAGAGCCGCGTAGATGCAAACTAGAAATAGACGGCAAAATTGTAGAACAAGTAATGAAATTCAATTACCTAGGAGTAGAGATCACTAGTGACAGGGATATAAAAACAGAGACCACAAGGCAAGCATCAAAAGCGGCAAGAGTAAGTGGTTGCCTCCGGGAAACCATATGGAGAAACAAATATCTGACCACGGAAAGCAAAATGAAAGTATACGAGACAACAGTAAGACTAATCCTAACATATGCAGCGGAGACAAGGACCGATACAAGAAAGACAACACAACAAATCAATATCGAAATGAAAGTATTAAGATCAATAGCAGGCATATCATTAAGAGACAGACAAACTCACAGAAGTATACGGAACAATGCAAAATTCAAAATATTAACAGGTGGATTCTGAACAAGAAAAAAAAACTGGAACGAACATGTAAACCGAATGGGACCAGATAGATTAGCGAACGTCTGTAAAAACAACAAACCGTATAGCAGAAGACCCATTGGAAGGCCGCCAAAAAGGTGGAAAGATAATGTACAGTCAACAATGACTGAAACAGAATAAGAGGCAGACAAACAGGAGTCATCCTAGTCTTACAAAGAAGAAGTTATGTCAGAAAACCGGATTAACAATTATGAACATCTGGTTTAAGTTTCAGAAACGGCCTCTTTATGTAAGGAAATCGCCACAAGATGGACATATAGATAGAACTACAAAATTAATTTGATAAATTTGAATAACCAAATTGATTTCTGTATTAAATGATTTTATTTCATTAATGCAATTGATTTCATTATGATAAACTGGAGACTTTGAAATAATACCCTAGCGCTCACATAAACTCAAACCATAACCCTAAGATAGGATAAACTAGGAGTGAGACAGAGATGTGTGTTGTCACCAAAAATATTCAATCTTTACTTGGAAAAGATATTCAAGAATAGGTGAAGAAATAATAAGTAATATAACAGCAATATTGAATTTTCAGATCAATATTAAAACGTCTTAATATCAATATCACGAAAATAAATGGATGGTAGTAGAATGCTGAACGGTATAGTCGTTGAACAGGTAGAACATTTTGAATACCTTTGCAACTGAATACTAACAGTTAGAGATGTGTAGTTCACCATCGAAATAGTTCAAATGAACGATTCTTTCAACTGAACTAATTGAAATAGTTCATCAATGTTCATAGAACTAGTTTACTGCGAACGATTTGCAGTATAAATTGTGTCTCAACTTCTAAAGAAAAAAATAATGAATGACTGAGATAATGTATTTCGAATGGAACAGGTCGAATTACATAGTCCCTGATACAAACCAGGGTAGTAGGAGCTGGCTTTTTCTTAAGAATTATGACTGCTTTCTCTTCATCTTTCCCTACTTGTTCTACTAGCGAAACTGATTTTGATGTTGAAGGTTGAGGTTCTTGAAATGTATTATCTGATTTTTCGGGTCCTTTTTTATATATCTTTCAGGATGGAGATATTTGAGATTGATAGCAGAGTGTTTCATTTTTTGCAAACAAATTTGCAAAAAAACTCTTAAATGTTATAGTTGGCAGTCTTGCTATACGAATATGAGGCCTGGGTTTTAAAAGCATAAAAAAAAGATAAAAGGGTTAGAAGCGTTTAAATTCTGGTGCTATTGTCGAATTTTGAAGGCGCAATAATGAGCACAGAATGGAAACTCATCAACATAATTAAATGAAAAACAGAATGCCTTTCAAATTGTTAGAGATCCTAAATACTATTATGGATTGAAAGTTGAAAGTAAAAACCTATAAGTTGTGGTGCTATATACAGGGAAAATGTAGTTCTTGTAATAAGGGTAACATAAAGTCAAACGTAGGTTCTTTAAATAGATAGATAGATAGATACGTTTATTGACAATTTTTACATAGTACATATTTTTTACATATATGTCTTGTCACAATATAAATAAGTCACTTATACTTCATCTAATTTAGATAACGACTTACATCATGATCTACGTCAGAGATCGAAGTTGACATAGTTGCCAAAGTATAAAAAAATCCTGACTCCATTTTAAATCAAATAGATCACATAATTATTGCAAAAGTATTACCATTGCTTTACAATGACTATTTAAATTCTTACGTGACATTTTTGAAATAAAACACACTAATTTTGTTCTAAAAGAACAAATTTTATTAAATAGGAAAAAAATATAAAACAAGAGATATTCATTTTAAAATTCAAAATAATAAAGTACAAAAAGTGTCAACACCGCAACTGTCAAGTAAGTGTTACCAATTTATGCCAAAATTTTACCTTCGTTCGATTACAGTTACAGTGTGTTCCGAACAAATGTTCTTGATAAAAACGCTTCATAATGCATTTATACAAATTAACCCATTTTCTACCAGAATATCAATAAATATATTTTTTCATAAATATAACTGCAGATGACAATGAAATGAAACTAAATAAACGTAAAAATATGTTTTTATTAATTTTTTGTTACAAACATAAGAAAAAAACGCTGTGAGCATATGGTCACACAGGGAGGTTACCTATATATACATTATGTATTTACTACTGTGTATGAAAAATTTCAAAACACTCAATGCAAAGTCCTAAATTACATTTTTTACATTGTGTACGTATCACAGAAGAACATCCTTCTCCTGCACACCTACGTCTTTTACCGTTAGGAACTGGAACAACAAGATGGTCAATTTTGTCATATCGTAGATTGTCGGGCACTCTATTCATGGACAGACTATTCTTGCTGACTGAAGGCTTACCAGGACGTCTAGGCGGTACTCCATATTTCCGCATATACATCTGTGCAATTTCTCGGCGGAAAACTATATTTGGTGTTTTTTTTCTATCCTTTGAGGACTTCTTATAAAGCACCTACGCGTTATGTAGGCATACGTCAACAAGCCAAGTAAAAATAGTCCAATACCACTTTTTACTTCTGATGCCAATTCTGTATCGTGCCACATCTTCATCCATTCTATCCGTGCTACCCATGAATGTATTATATTTTGCAATAATCAAAGGCCTTTGTACTTTAATAATTTGCTTCTGTTTCTTAGAGTATCTCTTGACGTAACTTTGAAGATTGATACCGTAGCAAGTTGATGCAGCCGTAACTACAGCATTATCCATCCACTTGACCAATATAAATCCGTCATTTTTAGATATAACATAATCAACAGAACCTCTAGTTTTAGTAGCCATTACTTTATTATCCGGCAAAGGGCAACACTTAGGAACTCTATTTTGTCTTATTGTTCCAGTACAGTCATATCCCCTTAGTTTTAATTTTGCAAGCAAATTGAAACTCGTAAATAGATTATCGGTATAAATATGGTAATTTGGCATCTTATTTGATAGATCGTCAAGCATTTGAAGTAAAGGAGCTGTTGCACTTCCAAATTTTTCTACATAACTGTTATCAGTTGAAATCTGTTTACCTTGATATAACTGAAAATGAATCAAATAACTGTCTTCAGAATTCAAACACCAAGCTTTATAGCCAAAGCGTATTGGCTTACCTTTGATAAACTGTTTACAGCTAGGTTTCCCAAAATACTTGATCATTGATTCATCATAATTCATGTGCTGGGTTGGTTGAAAGTACTTAAGACATTTCATTTGCACCTTTTCTATAATGGGGCGTAGTTTCCACATTTTATCAGTCCTTCCAATTTTGCTGTTATCGGCAAAATGAATACATTTCATGATTTGATCAAATCTATTCCTGCGCATAGAATTTTTCACCATGTGTACTGCCATGTCATCCTGTTGATCCCAATAATATGTTCTGCCCGGTAAGGGATGGTAGCCGGAAAAAATTAAAATTCCGAAAAAACATTTTAATTCATCAATGGACAGATTTGGATCTGGAAAATTCTTGAACGCAGCATATTTTTTTGTTTCTTGTAAAATATGTTCAAACATATCGTTGTCAAAAACTAGTTCGAATAGTTGTAATGGACTCATGTCATAAAATTCATAACTTTCAGATTTATTCTCGTTTTTAAATTTTTTATTATGTATCAAATCTCCCCCTATCCATTGCTTGATCTCAGTTTTTTTAGAAATTCTACATTTTTTATTTTTTCCCTCGTTTATCTGACTCACCTGTTCATCAGATTTTGTTGTCTTTATTTCATCCACAGAGTCTTCCTCTCCTTGTTCCATATTTTCGTTACGATTTATTCGAATTTTAGCTGGCGCTAATAACTGTCTATGAGACAAATTGTCAACTAAACCACTATCGTCTTCGTCCCCGGAATCTTCATCCGTATCCTCATGAACATCTGGAGGACAAATAAACACCGATGTTTCATCATTTTCTATATTTTCGTCATCATATAACATGGTCAATGCTTCTTGTAATGTAAAACCACGTCTAAAAAGAAAAAACCTATTAATTATCACATATTATCCCTGTGTGACGTTATGGTCACAAACAAATATTAGAAGCTCTACCGCATTTGATACAATACTTCTGTGATAAATTATATAAACATGTCCTAAACACATGTCTCTAGATCCTAATTGTTCAAAAATATTTTTGTTTTCTTTAAAAATAAGATTAAAAAATATTACTTACTCAAAGCGAACGTCCATTTTGATGCTTTCTCGTTGTAACACCAACAAACATCAACTATAACACGACTTTGCCAGCGAATTGATCAGGTACCGGGTACGTCATTCGTTACATAGATATCTCTAGTCCGCGTGGTCGTATTACTAGTTGCATATATCGCTGTATGTGTTAAATATTGTATATTTAAAAGGAGCCATTTAGTGTGACCATACGGTTACGCTAGCAGAAAACGGGTTAAATGAAACATATTATTGTGTATTTCTTTAAGTTAACACTAATAGAAATTTTTAAATATTATTTCTACGCGTATATAATAAAATATGTCTAGTGGCTGTAATGCCAGTGTACTCGGTAAAGTGATTCTAAAAAAGAACACACCTACCGCATAAATATTTCGTGTTGGTATCATGTGACGTCACAAGCTATGACGCCTATGACGTGCATCGTTATATAAATTAGATGAAGTGTATGTATACATAGTAAAAACTAAGAAATAATACAAGAACACATAATATAACATATATCACTTGTATTTCATATGTACATGCAATATCCGATTTTATTGATTCTTCACAAATAATATTATCATAAATGTCTTCTACATCAGAAACTTTCTAATCTAATCTCGGCGGCAAATAAACCACATTAAGTGAGCCAGCTTGTGCTTCATGAAGTGCTGCTGCTACATTAGAAAGTTATTTGTAGGTGCTTTGATGGTCTAGAGTGTTTCTGTCAGTTTGTTTTACACTATTTATTTCATGGTTTATTAATGATACTTGATCTTGTAAGGCTTTAATAGCAATTTTTTTGTTGAAGATAATCTTATCCTTTTCATGGAGCATAATAATAACAAAGCCTTAAACCTTATGAGCACAAACCAATGGGAAGTCTAATAAAGGGTACGTTATTACCGCTCGATGTACTGGTTTTATAGTGACAATTGTATCTGTATACTTATCATATTTGGGACTTCAAGGTAAATTAAAAATATTTATAAAAGCACAAATCGTTTATTAATAGTTATTTTTCCATTAACACATGATCCATTATTGTATCAAAATAATTACAAATCTAAACTGTTTTATACTTAAGTTGCTAATGGGATTCCTAGACATAAAAATCTAATTATTACGAATACCAAGAGCTTGCTCCAACTCTGCTCTCTTCTGCTGTACCTTAGTATAGAAATATCTACAAACCGCTTCTTGTGCCCAAGGCTGATAGAAGAAGTCAGAGCGTCTCTCCTCTTCCGGATTTCCGACCACGTCAGTCATTGTCTAGAAAAAAAAAATATTATTAACGAGTTGAATCTAATGCAAAATATAAGTGTTATGGACTTTAGTTTACGCTAAATTGAGTCGCTTTTTCACTTATACAAAGCCGCCATTTTATTTATACCAAACAGTCATTTCATTTATACAAAGCTGTATTTCATAAATGTAAAATTCCGTTTATATAAGGCTGCTATTTTCCTTAGACAAAATGGACAGATTCGAATGTAATTATAATTTTAGAATTTTTTTAATGCCCTGTGTCCGTTTCTTCTCGATCGACGATGATAAAATAACATGTTGAAGTCGTGGAGAAAAATATAGTTTTATTGACAGCTACCGAATTATTATACTATAGTTGTTGTTAAGGTAAAAATTTATAGTCGACTGCGTCCCAAACTAGTTCCGAGCTATACTTCTCACAAAAATTCTACTATTCATCAAATAAGTGTATTGCCATCTGCATAGAACAAAAACCTTTGAAAGTTGAAGCCTTTTGAAAGCTGGCAGATATAATTTGAACTAAGGAAATGATTGCAAGCATTTCCTTGATACTCATTAGGCAATCTATAGTTTGCTAGAAGTTGAACAAAGTGTAATTAAGCTGCTAACCGATATGTTTCACAATTACACACGGTGAAAATATAAAAATTCAGAAAATTAAGATTAATGTGAGATTATAAGTTAATGGACTAATTTGTGATTGAACAAAAAGCAACAATTTCATTCATAAAAAGACTCATAAAAATATCCTACAGATATGTAAAATAGGTGTGCATAAGGTTTTGCCAAAAACGCACGATAAGATTCACAGAAGAAATATTATAGGACAGCAGCTATGTCATAAGGGACTAAAGTCTGGTAGAAAATAACTCCTCATAGGCTTTATATCACACATTTATACTACTGGGAACCTACTACACTAATCCTCCCTTGAGCATTATCAAATGTTGTCTATTGAGTATAACACGTATGGCTATCTGAATAATAATCGGCACTGTTCTGCATCCTATGACGATAGTGTGAAATAGACTTTAAGCGTTCGGATGTGATGATAATAAATCTATTAAAGGACAACACAGCACGTACGTGACCACTTGAAACACAAAAGGACTAGTAACAACAGGCAAAAGACTGCTAAAGAAGTGTTAAGACGAATTGGACATGGCAGAAAGCTTATGAACACAATTAAAATAAAAACATCGTATCTGGGCCACATACTTCGAAACGGTAAATACTCTCTTCTAAACGTCATCATGCAAGAAAGAGTAAGGGGAAGAAAAAAGGCTTGGGAAGAAATCTTGACTGAGAAATATCAGAGATTGGACTAACCTCAGCCTTGAACAGATATTTCACGTTGCAAAAGATAGGGAAGCATTTAAAGAAGTGATCGCCAACTTTCGTTAGAAGACGGCATAATAAGAAGAAAAACCGGCACGTTAGGGATAACCAGTAAAGAGCTAATACTATTTAACATAATGGTGGCAGGTTTAGCGGAGACACATTGGCGTGAACAAGGATATTTTTGTTATGACGGTTCATGAATCAATAATGACTTGGTTCTTTAATACAATGAGATAAACTATCGTACATCGAAGTTTATGCTCCTATGTACACAGCACAAGAAGACGAAATCGAATACTTCTACAACCTACTGAAGACAACAATAAAAAATTTCCGGTCGAGAAATTATTATGATTCTCTGAGACTAAAGCTAAGTTGTGAAATCGGTTGCACGGTGATGGTAATCACCTTGTTGGAAATTTTGGCACAGGAAACAGGAATGAACAGGGATAAAAAGTGTTGCACTCTTACTACAATGTTGCACTAGTAACACTAGTGCAACACTAGTTACACTAGTAAAACTGATGGCGTGCAACAGCTCAGCCAACACTTTTCTAGATCCTGACTCATTTATTTGGCGACCTCAATCTACGAACGAAACTATGAAATCAGACATTACTGAAAACATTTCATTGTCTGCAGTGCATTCTCATAGCAATACGAAGTCAAGCTAATTCTTGCATCATTAAAATAGTTGTATTATTTATTGATTTTTTTCTAACAGTCATTTTTAAAACTTTACAGTGAATTTAGTATGAAATTAATATAGCTAATGTTTTTAGGATTCATTTTTTTTTCGGGCATGCGTATTTCCAAGGTTCATGTAAAATTTTGTGGCTACAAATAAAAAAATGCTTTTATCTAGGTAATGATAACAACACGTCCAAACCCAACAACAAACAAATGTTCTTGGATATCCAATGAAATGTTAGAATTAATAGAACAGAGAATATCATTAAACAACAAAGGTCTCGCAAAAGAGGAAGACAAAGGTCAATACAAGCAGCTGTAACCCCATATCCGAAGTTGTAGTCAAGATCAAAATAGATACCTCACCAATATTTGCGTAGAGATACAGTAGCATGCCAAAATCGTTACAAACAAGAGAGTCCTTTCAAAAAAATAAGATTATCACATGCTATTTCAAACCAAAAAACTGGGCGGTATATAATGAATTATTTATAAATGTTAGTTCGTTTTCCAGGCAGGTTCATCCAGGCGATGCTCAGATTTTAGATTAATAAGTCTTATGAGCCAAGTGCTTAGAATTCTATTAAAAATACTTCACAATAGGGTATACAAAAGGTGTGAAAAAGAAGTTGGATACGATCAATTTGGATTCAGAGCCGGAATGGGGACCAGAGAGGCCTTGTTTTCATTACAAGTACTGCTGCAGAAGTGTTACGACCAACAAAAGGATGTCTTTCTATGTTTTGTAGACTTTGAAAAGGCATTTGATCGCGTAAACCATAATAAAATGTTAAATTCCTTGCAGAGCATCAACTTGGATAGTAAAGATCTCCGATTAATTAAGAACTTATATTGGAGGCAGAGTGCCAAGATTAGGATCGACGATCATACATCTAGAAATATTAGTATAAATAAAGGAGTAAGGCAAGGATGCATACTATCCCCTAATGCTGTTCAATCTTTACTCGGAACTACTATTGAAGCAAGCCTTGGAAAACCTTTCCACAGGAATAAAAATTAATGGAGAACCAATATCTAGCATAAGATATGCAGATGACACTGTCCTACTGGCTGATACAGACACAAACTTACAGAGGGTTATAGACCACCTTAAGGATGCTTGTCGAGAGTTTGGAATGAAGATCAACGAAAAAAAAACAAAAGTAATGGTGATCCAAAGAAAACAGAATATTCCCTTACCTATAAAAATAAATGGGAATATTTTAGAACAGGTAAACCAATACAAATACCTTGGCTGTTGGATTAATTGCAAGCTAGACCCAGAACAAGAAATTAAAGCGAGAATTGCTCAAGCTAGGGATAGTTTCTTTAAGATGCGCGTTCTATTCTGCGATACACATATAAATATTAAATTGAGATTAAAACTTGTAAAATGTTTTATCTGGTCTGTTCTTCTCTACGGAGTCGAAACGTGGACTTTAAAAATAAAGAGCCTGAATAGAATCGAGGCATTTGAAATGTGGGTGTACCGTAGAATTTTAAAAATTCCTTGGACAGCACGAAAAACAAATGAAGAAGTACTAGCTAGACTCAATTTAGAAAAAGAACTATTGAGAACAGTCAAAAGAAGAAAAACCAGTTATTTAGAGCATTTGTTGCGCAACGAGAAATACTACATCCCTCAGTTGATAATAAAAGGCAAAATAGAAGGAAAGCGAGGAATTGGAAGAAAAAAATTGTCCTGGTTACGCAATATCAGAAACTGGACAGGACTTGGATTTGAGGAACTCTTAAGAGCAGCTGAAGATAGACAAACGTTTGCCACCATAACCGCTAACCTCCATTGATGGAGACGGCACTTGAAGAAGAAGAAGTGAGTTCGTTTTCAGTAGATAAAAATAGAAAAGAAAATACTTGTGAACAACTATATTCGAGCGATACTACCCGTAAAATAAATATCCATGAAAAAGATTATGAAAAAGAACCTGATATTATGTTAGAAGAAACGGAAGCTGCTATAAAGAAAACAGCACATAATAAGTCTCCTGGTGTAGATGCAATTCCATTTTAAATAATTCTCGTGTTTTCTTCATAATTGTTGTGTAAATTGTTTATTAACCCACTTACTACACGAACACACACTTATATAATCAAACCTCAGTAAAACAATATGATCGATAACGTGACCCAGTTAGTAGATATAAACTGAACATTTCAATATATTTAGATTTGTCGATGTGTCAGGTGTCAGACCTAACTCAACAATTTATATATACTAAAATGTACAGCTGCGATCATTGAATAGTTTACACCCTTATATATCTAGTAGCTGATTTTTTGAATTTTTACCTCGTTTAAACCATCGAGTAAAAAGACAAAAGAGGGAATCTAATCCTTATGAAAAGGAGACCAAAAAAGTGGCCTCTGATGGCGGACATATCCGGAAATGCGAATGCGTAAAATTTAAATTTTCTGACACTTATTAACAGTAGCTATATAATATTTTTCAGAATGTGTCTTAGACGAGAAAATTTTAATTAATTATTAACGGTAATTAGAAATTAGATTAGAAAAGTCACAAGTATTATCTCTAGGGATATTTAACATATGAGCCGTTGAAAACCAGAGTGGATTAAGTCAAGAATTTCACGTTACGCGCTTTCTAGGTATATAATTCTGTTCAACAGAATTATAACATTCTGTGTCAGAAAGTGTATACAGACAAATTTTCTTTAATCTTCACTATCACGTACGATTACGAGATATATGTGTTAAATGTGACACATACAAAAATCAGGTGAGCCAGAAAAAAGAAGTAAATACGAAGAAAGTTCTTCAATCACAACATGAGCTGCATTTAAGGCGTAGTGAAAAGGCTAGAGAGGCTTTGGAAGAAGCTAAAATTACAAGCATGCGTGAAAAAGGGAGAGTGTATGGATTCACGTTTGAATTGGAAAAGGCCTTACCGTTTCCCACTTTGACTTGCTCCGTAGCCTACTATAAAAGAAACATGTATGTGCACGAGTACTCACGAGTTTAGCGACGAAGACAAGGTGTTTCTCTATGTCTGAGATGAAACTACAGCATCTCGAGAAACGCAAGAAATAGGATCTTGTATTCAAAAGCATTTTCCAGAAGACGTAAATGACGCAAGACACATTATTGCATTAATTAGTAACGTATGTGGTGGAGCAGAATAGAAACTTTAAACAGTGTTTGTTTTAAATGAAATCGTAGGCTTCCACGGCCAGAGTCAGAATTATAGTTTATTCGTCTTCCGGGTTTGGACCGTGTCATTTGTGAGCGACCCGACTCCTTTCTTCAGGAGAACAAAGAAAAAGAAAACAAAAGACAGGAAGATGGGTAGTTAGCAACGGTAACTCAGTTACTCAACGCAACCAGAGGCGAATACTAACTACCAAGATGGGCATTTGGTCACAGTAACTCAACTACTCAACGCAGCCAGAGGTGAAAACCAAATGCCAGGACAGGGATTCACGTCCAACAGCTCAGAACACTAACGCGTCGAGAGGCGGGGAGTGAATCTGACGATTACTCCGCTACCGCTCTATTTATAGTCGCGGTGACCTGTCGTGTCGGGACGTATCGGCACACTTCGTGGCGCGAACGTCAAGAAGCGCGCGCTGGCCAATCATGTGGCTGCATCGTGGTAGCGGAACCGGACGGCGGCTCTAGACTAAGATTCCAGATGGGAGACAAGTAGTATCCTTCCTCTCGATTGATATTGTGGGGATTTTTTCGGATCTTTAGAGATTCGCGGATTTTCCTGGAATAAAAGAAGGGGGTCTTAGAAATAATATGGGTTTTTTCGAACAATATGGAATGACCGGTTTCTTGGCAGTGTTCTGCAACCGCAGAATGGGAGAAAAGACCTGATCGAATGCATCTTTGATGCTCTTGAATCCGAGTTTTGACGGAACGACCAGTTTCGCCAATATACACATGTCCACATGAACAATTTTCCCGAATAATACGCAATCGAACAATACGCAAAGAACAGAGCGCCGTTATGTTCCTGACGAGTCGTATAAAGTGTTTGAGAAGTGTCGCACAAAGAAACCGTATTGTGTTTGCAAGATGTAGAAAAATAATTTTGTATCGTCACAAAATCTGGAAGCAGCCGTTACCACACGAAAGAAAAATGAAGATAACGCGCCACTATCGTGGCTGAAACTTCAATGGCGACAATTTCGAAAAAGTGACTCCTATAAAATATTTTATAAACAAACACTAGATGAGTTTACTTTTGATGCCATAAGCTTGCAAACTACGAAAAGGATGTATTTCTGGTTTTCAAAATATTGAATTTTCAAAACTGTATGAAGTTACCACTAAGAAAAAGAAGGATATGGAAGCTCTTTTGGCGTTTATACTGCTCATTCATCACAACTTTTTCAAAAATTTATTCGTACATGGATACAGCTCAGCAGAAGTAGATCCACTGGATGACATTTTGGTGGATGGAACTTTAGACGACGACGTTCTTTATGAATAAGAATTTAATTTGTACATTATACACAGAAATACACGATCGTTTGTAATTCTATTTTTTTGCTGTAGTGTAAAATATTGAACATATTGAAAACCAGAGTGGTCTAAGTCAAAATATTAACAACAAATATATTAATTTCGAGCACTGACTCATTGTTCCGCTGAGCTTGTTTAAATTTAAGCTTTTTTTATTGAAAATCACTCTAATCACAGTCAGTCATGTTGCCTTTAAGTCATTGTTTCTACAATACCAGCATTTCTGACTTAGACCACTCTGGTTTTCAAAGGCTCATATATAGTGAACTATTAATGGGACTTATTCTAGATAAGTGAGAAAGAGGCATTTCAGTAGGTGGAATCTTTACTTCGCTGATGACACATTGTTCAGAGCCTAAAGTGACAAAGAAAAAGTGCGTTAATAATCGACAAACTAAAAAGCGAAATTAACGAAGAATAAAATCAAAATAAGACAAAAGTAATGATTTTTTATAGAACCAACAATAGAACAAAAATTCAGAACATTGGAAAAAAACACTAAAATGAATATTGTATGAATATCGGTTTTCCAAATATTTAGCTGTGTCTCTGAAACGTGGACCATCAGAACAGCAGATAGAAAAGGAATCGATGCAACTGAAATGTGATGTCGGAAAAGAATGAAATAACAATCCGCAATGTCTCTTTTGTTTCATATTTTCAAACATATTATTCTTCCGAAATAAACCGCTGGCAATAACATGGAGAGACTAATAGACAAGTAGTGCAGCTCAGACTAGGGATAGATGACGAAATAGTGTAAAAAGAGAAATTGCTGAAAGAATCGTAGCACTAATAACCACTGCGCATCTGTTAAGATGTACAGATTCTAAGTATATCTGTCTACTACATTTTAGTAGTATGAGTTATTAATATCTTCTCTATATACAAACATATTTGTATTACATCTGAATCGTTACTTTTTTACTATTTTTTACGATTATTTTACTATATTTCATCGCCGCAACCTCATTTTCAATTAACATGCAAATAAATTTAACTTACCTTCAGATCGCGAGTCTGCGAAACAATCCACTTATGAATGAACTGTTGTGGATCTTTAGCGAAGCTCAAGAAAAATTCCCTATTCGTTTTAAGTTGATTAATGGTATCAACGGTTTCGTGAATCTTGGCATCAAGCCCTTGAATTTCTTGCTGGCTAGCTGTACTCAATAGGAAATTGTTCATCTGGGTTTTTAATGTATCATCAACCTGAAAATATAAAAATTGTATTGTATACAAGATGTATTGTAACATTTTTTTTATAATTAAAATATTAAATAATTTTTAATCTCTTTACCCCTGTTGCTGAGACGCCGATGGCCGTAATTGCAAATAATATAAATATATGCGGGTGGTCGTGTTTACCATTAGGAAATTTTACTGCAATCTACCGACTACCTCAAATTACGGACGAATCTACTTATTAAAAGACGCCGGTTTGGGTAATCCTCGGTTAATCCTTTTCGGTACCAGGCGGTTTCTTTTTGATGAATTTTGATAAACATCGTCGAAAGCACGTTGTAGTATTTTTCTGAGAGAACGTGATTCAGGGGATTTTATTTTTCACGTCCAGTTGCTGGTCCCGTTATTTTCGATGTTCGTTAGAACATTTTGTCTTCATAGAAATGCATATAGCCTGGCTTGTCATTTTGAGTGGGGGATACCTCACCTCTATTATGGGAAGCTTGGAAAATTTTGGGAGGAAGAAAATTACTTCTGGCAGGGAGGTCTTTTAGTAAACACGCTTACTTATATTACCGTCTCTGTGTTATCTTACCGTTTTCTGTGAATTTTTCTTTGAGTGTGTATACACTTAAATTTTTGGGTTTCTTAATCTAATACCATATTAGATTAAAATATTGGTATAAACTACTTTTATTGTAATTGTAGATATTCTCCTTTTGCTTATATATCTTTGAAAATAGAGTACAAATACACTTAATGATAGAACAAAAACGTACAACATATCGTTAGGTCAAAATCACAGGGTTCCAACTAACAAAATCGCATATGTATTAAATGCCAAAAACCCGACCACTGTAAACCAACCCTATTCAATGTGCGTCAAAAAGATAAACCTCAACATCGCCACATATAATGCTCGGTCACTCTCTACCGAAGAAAGATTCGAAGAAATGGAGGAAGAACTCTCAAAAGTGAACTGGGATATTGTAGGTATCAGCGAAGTTAGAAAAAAGGGAGAGAGTCTGACCTCACTCCCATCAGGCCATTTATTTTATTACAAAGGAGAAGAGGAATCGACAGTCGGAGGCGTCGGCTTCTTTATTCACAAAAGAATTGCTAACAGAATTGTGTCAATAAACTAAATCTCAACAAGAGTGGTCTACTTAAACATCAAAATAAACGCCAGATATATCCTAAAGTTCATTCAAGTGTATGTCCCCACTACAGGACATCTAGACGAAGAAGTCCAAATATTCTACGACCAAAATATCCTATGCAATCAAGGAAAATCCTGGCCACTACTTAATAATAGGTGGTGATTTCAACGCCAAAATAGGCACTAAGGAAGACCCCTCTGAAATAATATTGGGAAATTTTGGAAGCAAAGGCAGAAATGATAGAGACAAACAACTACTGACTTTTCCTTTTGGAAAACAATCTCTATCAAATGAACAGCTTCTTTAAAAAGAAAAAACACAGAAGATGGACATGGGGAAAGTCCTGATGGAAAAACAAGAAACGAAATTGACTATTTCTTAACAAACAAAAATTAATTATTTAAAGACGTAAATGTGCTAAACCAGTTCAGTACAAGCAGTGATCATAGGTTAATAAGAGCTAAAATAACGATATCAACCGAAAAAGAAAGACTCAAAATGATAAATAAGAAACAACCAAAGAAATGGACAAAACCAACTAACATTCAGGAGTTCGAAAAATATATTGGTAATTCATTGAAAGATATAACAACAGCAGACATCAATATATTGAACAAACATATAGTTAACACAATGCAACAGGCTCAAACTAGCTATTGTCCGACAAGCAATAAAGATGAAAAACTGAGTCAACCCACGAAAACCCTTATAGAACTAAGGCGACAAATGAAAGGAGATAGCACTACAAGCAAAGAAGCGATAAATCAAACAAATAAGACGATCACAAAGGCAATAAGAAAAGACATAAGAAACTACAATGTAGAAAAAACAAAACAGGCAATAGAGCAAAATAAGAACATGAGAGTTTTGAAGAGGAGCGTACAAAAGGGGAAAATAGAAATTAACAAACTGAGAAACAGAACTGGAGAAGAAACAACGAACAGAGATGAAATATTAAGAATAGTCGAAGAGTTCTACACAGAGTTATATAGATCAAGAAAAAAAGATAACAATACGGAACCTCCAATTACACTAAAAACTGGGGTATTAAACCAAGGATCAGATTTAATGCCCGATATAACAAAATCAGAAATCAAAGAAGCCCTGAAGAAAATGAAAAATAATCGAACCCCGGGTGAAGATGGAATAGTATCAAAAGCACTAAAAATTGAAGGGGATGTATTACTTGAAAAAATTAAACAACTTTTCAATATCTGTCTTCACAACGCCAATATTCCAACAGACTGGAACAACGCTACTATGATTCTATTACACAAAGCAGGAGACAAAGCAAATTTAGAGAATTACAGACCGATTAGCCTCCTCAGCCATATATATAAGTTGTTTACGCGAATACTAGTTAAGAGAATGGAAAGAAAATTAGAAACTTATCAACCAAAGGAACAGGCAGGATTCCGAAAAAGTTACGGAACAAATGACCATCTACAAAGTATAAAAACCCTAATAGAGAAAGCAGTGGAATACAATAAACCTCTAGTTCTAATATTTATCGATTTTCACAAAGCCTTTGACACAGTTGAGCTAAGCATAATATTACAGGCGCTTAAAGAATGCAGGCTAGATTATAGATATACTAAATTATTATACAAAATATACCTGCAGGCAACAACCACTGTCAGATTACATACTAACAGTAATCGCATAAAAATAAAACGGGGGGTTAGACAAGGAGACCCAAAGTCAACTAAACTTTTTAATACGGTGCTAGAACATTCTTTTAAGAATTTTGATTGGATGACAAAGGGAATAAAAGATGGAGAATATCTAAACAACTTACGTTTCGCCGATGATATACTTATAATAGCTGAAGATCTAGGTATGGCAAGAGAGATGGTACAGCAACTCGTTGTGGCTACAGAAAATGTAGGTTTAAATATAAATATCTCGAAAACAAAAATCATGACCAATTTGGTACCCAACCAGAACATCAGTATTGGTGGGAAAGAAATAGAACTCGTAGATAGATATAGATACCTGAGACATGAAATTATGATTGGCAAGGATAACCAGACTCATGAACTGAAGAGAAGAATCGGCCTTGGGTGGGCAGCATTTGGAAAACTGAAAGAAACTTTTAAAAGTGAGCTGCCCACATGCCTAAAGAAAAAGGTATTTGAGCAGTGCGTCCTCCCAGTCTTGACGTACGGAGCAGAAACACTTACCTTAACAAAAGCAGTAGCTACCAAACTGAGAGTCACGCAGAGAAGAACGGAGCGGTCCATGTTAGGAATAACTCTGCGAGACAGAATAACCAACGAAGACATCAGGAGAAGAACCGGAGTGACTGGGCAGGACACATAGCCAGAATGACAGATGGGCGATGGACAAAAAGGTTATTGGAATGTAGGCCAAGGGAAGACAAGAGAAGCGTCGGTCGACCACCTACAAGATGGACTGACGATTTAAGAAGACTCAATAAAAACTGGATAAGAGCGGCGCAAGATAGACGGGGTTGGAAACATGAGGAAGATGCCTATGTTCAGCAGTGGACTCTTGAGGCTGGATGATGAGTGTGAAAAGCTTCCAACTGATCTTCCCTATCTTTTGATCTGACCACAGCGCTGGCTAACAACGCAATTCTGACTCATTACAATGCCAAGGTTCCATCTTTGAACATAAATAAAACAAAACTAGAATGACATAGTTTCAGGTGACACATGAAACCTTGTCACTCAACCAATAATTAAGATTTTTAGTTATGTTATTAAAACGTTTGTATACTAAAATACTTTTACATAAAAAAATTGTTTAATTGTATGTGATAATTACTTTTATTAACAATTTTTTATAGGTACTATTATTTTACAATAAGTTCTGTTTAGTCGGGTCTATTCATGGTATCACTCCCTAGATATATCACAGAAGTTAACAAAACCAATATTTTTTATTTAAACTTTATAGAAAATGAAACTTTTTCTTAAATAAAATTTAAATTTTAAATTAATAAATTTAAAATTAAATAAAATTAAATAATTTTAAATTAAATAAAATAAAATTTTATTTAATTTAAAATTAGATATCTCCGCCACTGTTCAATAAAGTAGTGACCAGTCTAACATTGTTGCCATTTTCTAGGATTTTACTCGCTCTGGTTCCTATAAATTTTCTCACGAAATTACGTGTCGACTATACATTAAAGTAAATTTTGTTCCCATATATTATTTATATGTGTTTAGAGATGGAGATAACTTATGTGATGTTACTGCCTGAATAAAATCTGATAATTGTTTTAGGTAACGAATTTTTATGGTGAATTCTTAAAATGGAAATAAACATGCACATCTTGTCAAAACGAAAAACTGATACCTAGCGAAAACTTTATATAGGATGCGTGTTTACAATTGCTTGGAAAAGTTCTTTTAATGTTTACCTGAATATTTTATTTCTATCAATTTTAATATTTTTAACGTATATGATCTTATTTAATCTCTCACGTAAAAATTGACACTACATATTTTATAAAAGCTGGAAACTAAGAACCACGTGTGTGGAATAATCAATAATTTATTCCCCCAACACTTGAATTAATCAACTCATTAAATCGGGAAGTATTAATTTTATTTCTGTAAATAACTTGCGATCCGGATTTTTGTAAAATTTTTACGACCGATCTACGAAAATAGTGCTTCATCCATAGCGATCAAGTCAGAACCCTTCAAGCCAAGAGAAAATCTTACCACAGACCACAGAGAATCTTTTAGAAGTCGTGTCGCGAACCAATTCACCCACCATTTTTATCTACTGCCAAGACGACCAGAGCACAGGTAAGTTACTTCTGCCATTATTCAAACAAAGCTAAGTGGTTTTTCTATTGTTCTTTGCTGCTAATAATTTCAGAGTTGTACCAATGTTAGTACTTTACTTACAACAATATGCATTTTTTATTGCTTTAATTAATTAACCAGCTAATTTTATATTTTCTTTATAAATAACAATATACATAAATAATAAAATTGTAAACCCGATCTTACCTCTACATCAATATCGTAACAAGCAGTTTGTTTGCTCTCGGCCCCTCCTTCTACAGAGATCACATGATTGATGACGATTGGATCTGGAGGATGCAATAGTGGATTCAGACGTTGAGGAATCTCGGCAAATTTCATACGTGTACAGTTGAAAATTTGTTCTAGATACTTGTCACAAACGATAAACTCACGTTCATGGGCATCTTGCAAGCTAAAAGTTATTTGTTAGTCCAGATATTACATGCAGTTTAAAAAATTATATGCACGCCTAAATTCAAATAAGAACTACAGTTTATAAAACAAATTCACGTATTTACGAAATCATATCTCGTTATTCGAACATATTAAAAAAAATTAAGAGAATAAGGTTAATAAAAACTGTTTTTTCTTCTTTGGAAACTGTATATTATATTTCTCTATTTGGGACAGAGACATATTTCACAAATCTAGGTTGCCTCTCTGTTCGTTCCTTCCACATTTTTATTTATGAACTCGGAAGATTCACTCATTTCTGAGTACTCTTCTGGACAATCTCTTTTTATCTCATGTCTATTTTATTCCCACAGGTTGTAACGAATTTCAGTCAGACAGGAAAAAGTAGATATAATAACAATTATAATAATTAACAAATAAGATACACAACAACAGTTAGAAAAGAATTATGTCTAACTTATTAATTATTATATATTACTAGGATGGAGGAGGAAAAAAGTACATGATGGCTGAGTCATCTTTACATAATGAATAATGGACATATGTCTAAAATAGCCCTAATGAGAATTCCAATCACCAAAAGAAGAAAGAAAAAGATGGTGAGACTATGTGCGAGAGAACCCAAAAAGCGTGAGCGTAACAAGGACAGTAAGAAAGTTGGTAGAAAAAAATGTGGTATTGTTAGACTAAACATATGAATATAAATTGATATAAATTTATCTATAATGAAGAACCAAAAAAAAAAATGTATGTAAGTATATATATTCTGTGCCTATCTAAGATTGTGGGTCCGAGTTTGCCTCCATTTAACACGGGAGAAATTGACTGGGAAAGTTCTCATCAACCTACCTACCTACCTAACTAGTCCATTCTTGCATTAAGTGATATTTATTTAATTCCCAAGATTACTTAAGCAGTATCTTGTGGAATTGTGGAATGATTACTAATAGTAATTTATATTTTTAATAAGACTTACCGATGAGTTTTTATGTATTGCCACAAAGCTGAAATAATGACTGGTCTAGTTTGAGTATGAACTCCCAAAAGTCTAGCTAGTCTAGGATCAAGCTTAAACTGCAGAGGTTGATAATCAAGAAGCAACAATATAGTACATCGCACATTCTTGTCACCAGGGCGTTTTACCTACAACCATAAAACCAATAAATTACTTTAAAATGATTCCAGAAATATAAAGCTAACCTGGAAACCATCTGTTTCTTGGGTGGTTAGGGTTCTATGCCATTCAACTAAATGATTGTCTGGTCCATACAGCTCTTTATCCAATTCGATAACCAGAGATTTAAAGAAAGAAGAAAACTTGCGTTTAACTTTATTTGGATCGTTCTTTGGATCTTCTAAGAGACGACCTTCTACTCTTAATTCCCAAGAAGCGACAGTGCTGAAAACATTTCAACGTTTATGATAAATAAATCATTAATATACTTTAACTCAATGTTTCATTTCATGGATCAATTATTAATCATATATTGTCATAACTGTATAATTTTCTGAATACTATGCTAAAGTTCCATGATCTTTAAGAATTGTGCAATGAGAATTAATCAGGAAAAAAACTGTATTTCCTTAAAACATTTTTACTTACCCTTCCTGACATGGTCCATCGGGCCCTTCAGGCTGAGGTTCCTTGGCAGGATAGAAGGTATTAGAAATAAATATTCTCAACTTCCTTTTTTGCTTCATCGGACGCTTAAGTGCTTCTTGGATGTCCAATCTTTTTCTCATTATAGTAGAGTCCAGTTTTCTTTCAAATGCTAATAGATCCATGTAAGCTTGACTTTCTGGAACCAAATCTCTGACTTTCTGTGGCAGGATTTTATCTGCCAGCTTTTTCTTCTTCTTACTTGTACTATGGCTGTATTCATTACTGAAAATAAGAATTATTCATTTACAAATGTCATAGTGAAGGCTCTTAGCAGGTTACTTCTCAAGACATCTCAGTAGGATTTACTAAACAGTTACTACATTTAGGGATATTGTGAATATTCTCATCCAGATCCGCAATTGCAGAACTTTTGCATTAATTTGGACATCCACATCTGTAAAAATCTATGCAGACTTTTATGCGAATGTCCCACAAGTTGCTACAAGAAAGAAATTAAGTAGGGCCGGCGAGTGGCGCGTTTTTTTTTATAGATTTATTTAAGAATAAATTACAATGCCGCCACCGACATGTAATATTTGGAATTATTTTAAACCAAATAAACCTGACAATGATAACGCTTCCTCGGTTTTTTCACCAGTAGTCGTAGCCAAAAAAGGTGCGCGATTATTAGCATTGAATGATATAAATTGCACAGTTCACAAGATGCAAATTGCTATTCGCAGTTGTTTAAGATAAAAACGTAAGAAAATTTTAAGTCATTTCAATAATTCTACTATCCCTCAGAAACAATTGCAAGCAATTCAAGACAGACTAAATCAAACTCATTTCAAAGTGGTCCAACACTGTATAACGTGAACAGTACATTTTACATGCTCGAGCGTGTTTTAAAGGTAAAGGATACCCTAAGTCTTTATATCAATGATAGTGAATTTAATCCTATTTTACCGGAAGACTAAAAAATCATTGAATGTTGTATAGAGTTATTGAAACCTTCTGAAGATGCCACTTGAAAAACATAGTATTTCTTATTCCCTTATTTTCTCTATAATTCAACTAATTCAAATGCTTGACAAAAAAGTTGATGACTATTTAACAAGATCAGAAGACTGCGATCCAATTCAACAGGCCACCAGGACTATGAAAACTGAACTTTAAGAATAGTTTTCTTACTTATTAGAGAGTAATTTATGTCATCGTCACCCACTATAAACATAAATTTCTTACACCAGTGACTGAGGAAAAGATTTAGAAGAAGACATTTTGATAATGAGCATGAGTATTGACATTTCCGCTTCTCTTAATACAGAAGGAGTTAACAGAATGAGAATGGCAGTTTCCTCAGAAAATGTTCCTACAGAACAACTAGAACCAGAACCGCCCAATTCAGTCAGAAAACCACGCTTATGTTTTAATTGTCAAGTGAAGATGAGAGTGTTAAAATACCAGAAAAAGTGCTGAAGTTGTACACAAAAAGGAATTACTTTCTTCCACCCTTTTTCTATTAATGTTGATGAAAATCCTCTAAAATGGTGTAGCGTTCACAGAGAAGAATTAAAACTATTGTCAACAATAGCCCGCAGGTTTATATCAACACCACTGGGCAGTGTTTCAAGCGAAAAATTGTTCAGTAGCGCGGGTTTACGTCACTATAGATGAAATGCTTCACATTTTAGAGAACAATGTGGCATTGTACAATACATGTCAAGTACATTATATCAATTATCTAATAATTAGATAATTGATGTAATACTAATAATTGAAAAACTGTATTTTTAAGAAAAATTACATGGGTCATCATATAAAACAGAAGTATTACATCAATTATCTAATATTTAGATATTATTACAATGAACTGTAAAATGCTGTTAAAATGAAAATCTTAGATAGGGGACCCTATAATATGACCCCCAATAAAATAAAGTTTTGACCACCAGCTGGGATCACATATGGACAAAAATATATAATGATTGTTGGGAAATATTTTTAAGATATTATATTCTTATTTCCATATGCCACAAAGACTTTGAAAATAAACAATTCATTGTGTGTCACAGTAGCAAACTTGTCTAAACCACCACACTTTATTAATGCAGATGCCGAGGTGTCGAATCAGGTTTATGTCTTAGCGTAGTAATATAAAAAAAATAATTGAAAAAAAATTTAAAAAAATTAAAAAAAGTAAAAAAAAAATAAAAAATAAAAAAAAAAGATACAAAAAACAAAACAGCAAAAATAAAGTAAACTATGTAGTAAGTTTCTAACATTCCGATACATATATGTATCACCTCTACTTGTGCGGTTTAGTTATTTTCTGAACTTGTCTGGCTTAAAACTAGATTCACTGAAACATCTTTATTCAGTGAGAATCCAAATGTTGGTTCAAATTCCTTTATTATTCCTTACTTTTAATATTTATAAATTTGTGGTTCAATGTCCACAGATTAGAACATATCATATAAGTAAAAATAAACAATCTTACCTTTTCTGTTGCAGTTGAGTCCTATTATCTGCAGGCCTTTTATTTCCTTGCTGTGGCGGAATGATTCCACCTCTCATTGGTGAATAGGGAGCACCAGTAGGTCTTTGGATCATTGTACCGCCACTGGATGGTATATTTGGTGGTGGAGGATTGTATCCAGGTCTTTGCTAAAGTTTAATTGGAGACATTGAAGTTACAATACAACTAAGAATTAAGTTTATAGACAATTAATAGTGTTGGTACTTACAGGAAAATTTTGTTGTGCATATTGCCGAATTCCTTGATTTGGTGGCTGTTGTTGATATCTTTGAGGAGGTGGTCCTCCTGGACTTTGATTTGGCACAGGGCCGGGAAACCGCTGAGCCATTATTTAAATAAAAATTTAAAACGATGTTATAAGATACAACCAATAAACAAACCACAGATCACCTACCTCCCACAGTTATTAGTGGTCTGTGAAACAAACCTACTTAATAAAAACTGCAATATGACGGGTGTGTTCTGTGCCGTTTTATGGTGCCGTTGCTGTGCTGTGGCTGTGAATATGACATATGACGGGAGTCCTGTGGTCACCACGCGATCGCCATATTTTAAACGGAAACAGACTCGGATTGATAAATTTGTGGCAAACTACAAAAGAACTGTAATTTAAATTTTTAGAGATTAATAATTTAGTACATTTGAAATAATTTAATCTATTCTTCAACTAAAAGTACGGATAAAATAGTGCATATTATGTCTATAGTTGCGGTATATAAATGAAACCGGGTTAATTGTTCTATGCACAACAGTTAATATTTCACTGAACAGCACTGGTTCCGACTAAAACATGGCCGATTCCGTCTTCGCGAACGAGGTTTGCGTACTTATTTTTTCAAGCAGAGTGGGCATTATGATTGTTTATTATTCTGTGGTTTTGATATATTTCTTCTGTTGGTGACACTGAATGGGGTATATTCTCAAAATTGCACAGAAATAGCTGGTGTAAACAGATCAAACGCTTGGCAAGAGATATGCCATGCAAGCAAGACGGACTTGCATGGACTAGGTCACACTGGGTGTTATGCTGTTTTAAGCAATTATTGTAATTGTTGGATCCTCGGTTGAAAGTTCTGTCATACAATAATAAACAATCAGAATGCTCACTCTGCTTGAAAAAATAAGTACGAGCATCTCGTTCACGCAGACGGAATCAGCCATGTTTTAGTCGGAACCAGTGCTGTTCAGTGACATATTATCTGGTGTGGATCATCGAGCAAAAAGACAATAGAGGGAATGTAAAGGTAGTGGGGGCAAACATATTGTTAGACAGGAAGTGCGATCTTTAGAGGCCACATTAAACAAGGAAAGAGAGTCTTTATCCTTGTTTGACATCAAATTTAGTTGGGTTATGTTATTGTTTGTCCCATCGAGCAATAAGACAAAAGAGGGAATCTAATCGTTATAAAAAGGAGACCAAAAAAGTGGCCTCTGATGGCGGACACATCCGGAAATGTAAAGGCGCCAAATTTAAATTTTTCGACACTTATCAACAGTAGCTATGTAATATTTTTCAAAATGTGTCTTAGACGAGAAAGTTTTAATTAATTATTAATGATAAGAGTCTAAAATGCGACACAATTGTTAAAAAACTTCAATATAAATAAGATTTCATGTGACATTTGGGACAAACAATAACATAACCCAACTAAATTTGATGTCAAACAAGGAGAGAGACTCTCTATCCTTGTCTAAAGTGGCCTCTCAAGATGGCACTTCCTGTCTATCAATATGTTTACCCCCTCTACCTTTACATTCCCTCTTTTGTCTTATTGCTCGATGGTTTGTCCCAAATGTCACATGAAATCTTATTTATATTAAAGTTTTTTAACAATTGTGTCGCATTTCAGACTCTTATCATTAATAATTAATTAAAACTTTCTCGTCTAAGACACATTCTGAAAAATATTATATAGCTACTGTTGATAAGTGTCGGAAAATTTAAATTACGCGCATTCGCATTTCCGGATATGTCCGCCATCAGAGGCCACTTTTTTGGTCTCCTTTTCATAAGGATTAGATTCCCTCTTTTGTCTTATTGCTCGATGGTGTGGATAGACAAATTAACCCGGTTTAATTTATTTACGGCAACTATAGACATAATATGCACTATTTTATTCGTACTTTTAGTTGAAGAATAGATCAATTTATTTCAAATGTACTAAATTATTAATCTCTAAAAATTTAATTTGCAATTATGTCGTAGCTCGTCACAAATTTCTTAATTCGAGTCTATGTTTCCGTCTAAAACATGGTGTTCGCGTGCTGACAAACTTCAAAGGCGACATCTGAGAGTGGGCATTCTGATTGTTTATTATTCTGTGGTTCTGTTAGAAGTTTTTCTGAAGTACCAAATTTCTGCTTATTTGTAACCCATTTTCTGATCCAAATTCGGCATCTCCGCTTCTAAATCTGTGTAAACCTTAACTGGCGCGCAAACAGGACTGGCGTGGCTACTGGCGGCAACAAATCCATGCATGTATAAACTCACCTTAAGAATAATACTTTGATATTCTGTGGCCGGCCGTCACAGGTATACCAATAGTAGAATACTAACTAACTTTTCATTTCATGATTCTGATATCTGATATCTGCTGATAGGAGCATTCCATCCAATCACCAATCACATCCAATCAGCGCAGCGATTATAAATTGGATATAATAATCATTACAATTACAATTATTACAAATTACAAGTTAAATAGCAATAATATTGAAAACATATTTTTTGTATTTTCCTAACAGAAAATTTATCTTAAAAATTTTAAATTATACGAAAAAATGATTTTTTTGGATTATAAACTTATTGAATTTATTCCCTTCAACTTCAATTGGTAGAACCAATTTATCTGCAATGGAAAAGAGTTATTATTTTGATAACCTCTAATGATAAAAAGTGTAAACAATGGTTAATACTTTATCGATATGAAGAAATGTTTCGAATATAACTAAAAATGAGAAAAACAAGGCCGCAGCTTCGTAGTGTTAAGATAAAATATGCAAATACATATATTGTACTTTTTATTTTTGTCTTAGTTATTTGTATATTTTACTTTTCACTGAAAGGCTCAAAAAGCTTAAAAAATGAAGTGGAAGAGGTTCAAAGCAATGAAGAAATCAAGGAACAATTTATTAAAAGAGAAAAACCAATATCTTTCAAAGGGCATAAGGTTGTACATTTAGATTTAAAAGGGGCACCACCAAAAATAGATTTTTACAAAGATTTATTTCCTTTACTTGCCAGGTTTGGAGCAACAGGAGTTCTTATAGAATATGAGGATATGTTTCCTTACAAAGATAATTTAATCAATGTAAGTGCCACAAATGCATATACATTACAAAATATTAGGGAAATTAATAGATTAGCAAAAGAGCATAACTTGACGGTTATACCTCTCATTCAAACATTTGGTCACTTGGAGTTTATTTTGAAGCTGAAAGATTATGAGATGTTACGAGAGGTTTCAGAGTATCCACAAGTAATTTGCCCTACACACCAAAAGACTGAACAATTACTAGAAACTATGGTACAACAAATGCTTGCAGCTCACCCAGATAGCCAGTTCATACACATAGGGGCAGATGAAGTCTATTATCTAGGAATCTGTGAACGCTGTACTGATACTATGATCAAACACAACCTGTCAAAGAATCTCTTATTTATAGCACACATTAAAAATGTTATTAGAATTGTTAAACGTTTTAATCCTCATATAACTGTATTAATGTGGGATGATGAGTTTAGATCTTTTACGGATGCAGATCTGGCTAATAGTAATTTTAACAATAATGTTGAACCTGTGATATGGAAATATACTAAAGATGTTTACGATGAGTTAGGTCCTAGCTTGTGGGATAGCTACCAAAAAGTTTTTAAAAATGTTTGGATTGCTAGTGCTTTTAAAGGAGCAACAGGTACAGTTCTAATTCTTACTTTTTTATTTTACAGAAAATCTGTTTTTAACAGCATAGATCCTTTATTATATAGTTTTACAAGCAAATTATTTCAGTAACTATTAGATTCCATAGTAAAATAACCTTAAGAATTTACAATATTATTTTGTGTGTATTTAATAACTATTGTTAAATATTTATATATTTTTTGCATTTTAGGCAGTAATGAGATTGTACCATATGCAACACATTATCTACAAAATCACCGCAGCTGGATGTCTGTAGTTGCAGAATACTCAAATCAGTTTAATTTTAAAGGTATCATCATTACTGGTTGGCAACGGTATGATCACTTTGCTGTACTCTGTGAACTATTACCTGTTGGGATACCAACCTTGGCTATGAGTCTCAGAATTTTACTAGGTGAGCTTATTTATTTCATGGGTTGTATTATTAATCATTTATGTTCTATTACATTTAGAAAACTGTTGAAACAATTCCAAAAATATGTAAAGGACAAAGTTAATTTAAAAAAGGAAAAAGATAATTTAGACCAAAAGGGATGTAGGATATATTTCTTATCTAATCATATTAAAATAATGAAAAAGATGGATAATTATATTAAAAACTTGTTTAATTACCTCATCATATTTCATTGTAGTGCATAAGGAGTGGGAAAATCTTCAAAATCTCTAATCTGGTTTTAGGTATGTTGCAATAGTCAAAGTCTGAATACCACAAGGAGAAATCCCTTAAGAATTCAATGACTAATTTGTTATATACAAAAGCGATGCCTCAGAGAGCTGGCAAACTCTGGGGAATTACAGCCTTGGCACAGTATGGGCCTAATGCACTACGAAGCAAACTTTCAGTACCATAAGACAGCTTCCACAGAACTTGCTGTTGCTATGAGAGAGTTCCATGCTTTGATACAAGAACCCTGTCCATCAACAGCCAAATAAAAGGTCTATTGTTTGGCAGAGAAGTTGTATGTAGCAGATCTGACGAAGTCTCAAGGACTTATATAATAGTTACTGGTAGATTTGCAGTAAGCAAATTGCCTGCAGAATGACTGATGTAGAACAAAGTCATTTCACAAGAATTTAAAACTATACTTGAGCTTTATTAAGTTAATAAAAATAACGCAGTGAAAAAGAACAAAAAAATACTTAAAAGTGCTTTAAAAATACTAAAATTTCCTCTTTACCTACCTCTTTCAAAACCTTTATGCATTAGCTTTGATTTACAGAAAGGATTGAATATGATGACAGCAATGTCTTGTATTCCAATATGGTGACCCTGGCTTCCAAAACCTTGGTAATTTCTTTACATTTTTCCAGTCCCTTGCCTTTTCTCTTTAATCTCTCACGCCTATTTCTTGTACTGCTTTACTGCTTCCAACAATTTCTTCTTTGGGTGTCCTCTTTTTTCCTATTTCTCCTTCCTTCAGTATTCATTTAACATTTCAGTCCCCTGGCATTCGTATGATGTGACCAAGCCATCTATT